GATCCAACTTTGCGTGTTTCTTTTCTTCTTTTCTTTTCCCTTTTTCCACCCACCCTCAGAGAACAATTTCTATCACCAGCTCCCAACTAAAAATGAAGCGAGGACTGCACTTTCCTGCTTTATAGCTTTTTTTTTCTTTTCAGACGGTGATTATCCACAGGTACACGTGCCACCACCAGAAGAGGACGTCAGTACTAATTCCTTTAAATCTAACACGCCAAGAACGACACGGTGCCTTTGAAAAAGATAGGTCCTCCTATCGAAACGTTGGCTAGCCTGTCTGAGGCACTTCCGCTGTTCACTTTGTTAATCCCACTGCACTCTGTATCTGTAATTCAAAACAAAGTATTTCTTCATATACGAGATCGATATTCTGGCATGGTATTTGCAGGTACTCTTTGAGCACGTGCAGAAGGCCTGTGAATTTGATGCAGGAAACAAACTAAAACTTTTACCTCACCTAAGACTGCGAATTCTAAACCCGAACCGCTTCGAGAATATTAACGCGGCATCTGTGCATGCCCTTTGACGCCATGCCACTGGCGCTGCCTTGAGGTACCTTTTGCAGAAAGGCCAACGGCCCAAAGATTCACACACAACGGCAATTTTCTTTGAAGAAGTGTTTTAGTAAATTCCCTATATTGACATCTAGAACGAGGAAAACGGCTCTAAGTGACCTAAATTCACAAAAGATAGATGAAGCGAAAGCATTCTCGAACAACTTCAGTGCCATGTTCAGCGGGTTCAGTATCACTGGCAAAGAAAGGAAAACCATATCGCAAGCGAGCTGTGCTCTGGACATATTGTGCCGTAAAGTTGAGGCAGCACTATATTGTTGAACTGAACTTCAAATTTGTGATGTTGAGCAGGCTGAGCTAAGATGCGCTAAAAAAACCTGTTTAGCACATTAAGGCTGAAAACACCCATTCCACGTGCATGGGAGTTTAAGTTCACCTTCAAAGTAATTGTTCTTGCCCAATTTTCACCACCTAGTCGCAGTGGTTCATATGCCATTGGTCACTCACATGACTTGCTGTATTTTCTCACCAAAAAGAAAAAACTTTTGAAGGAGTCAACAGTAGATGATGTCATAGAAACGAGTTTTGATGCTTTCTTTGGACCTTGCGAGGAAGAGGAGGATAGTCTAGAATACTTTGCGAGGTATTTGTCACGTGCTTTGAGGCACAAACACATACTTTGCAGTCTCTATCACAGCTGCATGATTGATAATACAAAGCAAGTTCTGAATCTGTACCACTAAGGTGCTACATAAGGCAAGGGGAAAATCTCCTAATGGTCCCTTCAGACAGCCTCGTCGAGCTCCTTCATTTTTGTGAGCAACGTTTCCGCATCAATCAGACCGTCTGCTTGACTCTGAATGCACCTTGGACAACCTTAAGAATGCTGCTCACGAAAAGTGTGGTGCATTAGGTAAATTTCAAGCGTGCCGTAGTGTCGCTCAAAAGGATGTATGGCACTTCTTCCTCTGTAGGCTTCGCTTTGTCTTGAACTGGCGAGCTGCCCATCTTATGGCAAAGCAACGTCAAGCTGGCAAGTTGGAATGTAAGAGCATTGGAATGCGTGTTGTGTCCTTTGAGAACGAAATGTGTCTGACCGTGGAATGAAAATGTTTAGTGCCATCAATTGAGATTGCAAGATATGTATCATGCTTTAGTTACTGCTGTTTTGTCTGGTTAAGAGTCGATTGTATATACCCTGAATGGCGGCAATTTACCTTTGTTCCTCATTAGCACACCACAAAGCTTAGTGCCCAAAGCCTGCTTTATCAATTTTGTTCCCCTGATGGTGTCTTCAACTTTTGGTTGTTCTTTGAGTTGATTGAAGATGTATAGAAAGCAGAATTATCACGTTAACTTCAGCCGTGTGCGGATAATTTTTTATCAAGCACTGTGTACTATTGTTATTGCAGTAAAAATGGCCTGTTGTACTTTTAGTAGTTACCAGTCGGCCTTAACAATTCCTTAGACTACCGCCTTCCAAGACCCGGCATTATTCACTACTTCCGTAAGCTAATGGCCATTCATACTGTTTATACCATTGAACAAATAAAGTTTTATTGAGAAGCTTCTGTGTCTCTGTCTGTTTCGCAGAATTAATTAAGAATCCTAATTGACATGGATCCTTATTGCTTGTTAAGATGATGATAACAGCCAGCATGCATTGCCATAAAAAATAGCTGTGGTGTTTGTTATGTTCCCAGTTCTTTTATTTGATACTTGATTCGCCTTTAATTAGCTTTTTTTACCTTATGCGCTATGCTTGTATGCATGGTTTTTTTAATCATCTTATTGTTCATCTGCTATAATTTATGTTCTTAGCTTTAGTAATTCCTTCGCCACAGTTTTACTGCAGTTAGACATCATTTAGTTCAAATTCGTTGTATTTTATGACGTAATTCGAGTATTGGTAGTACTGGTGTTGTTGCCAAAAGACGGGCTTTTGCCTTGATTATTACAATGTGTACTGCAAAAAATGCGCTGTTTACGTGGAAATTTGAAATGACTTTAAATATATTTTCTGGGCCAGTTTTTTGACAGTGCAGCGGTTATGAATGATGGTTAATGACGGTTTGTCAGTGGTCACCTGCGTAACCGTATGCACAATGATATTTCATCAACGGCCGCCGATCAGCTGGCATCAGTGGCCAAAATGAATTCTCATGGTGGAGCAAAAGTGCGTGAATTTTCTCCAAAGGCCCTTCAAAACTACTATTTACTGCCTTCCGGCCAAAAACAGAAAAGAATGCGTGTATGCTGAAAGTAATCGCACCCTTTTTCGTTGCAAATTACTGTTCAGAAAAACGAACTTTTGAGCTGACCGATCGTACCATGCATCTGAAAGCGGTTGTGGTGGAATCTGCCCACCACTGTGAAACTGCCCTTCACCGCGTCGTTTAGTTTGTAGACGTAATTCGCTAGAGCCTATAGCAATATATCTTCTCGCTGAAAGCGTCAAATCTTGCTAAGCACTTGCGAATAAGTCCTCGGCACGTCGCCCATGCCGGAACATCGCGCCGTATGACGAGTGGCTTCATTGCTCAGCAGTTGAGCATAACAGTACACCTATGCGCAACTCTGCCCCCGTAGGGATCATATAAAGTAACTCTAGTCTTAGTAAGGCACGTAGACGCAAGCAATGGCGATATGTTTTCAGCTCTCTTGTCTGGAATTTCACAAAGAATCAGATAGTACTTGGAGCATCACTCTTGTTTTTTTTTATCAGAAATGACAGTGCGCTAATATCTCGCCCCCCACCCCTGAGGGGCGGTTAATAAAAAAGGAGCTTGGTGATCCCATTTAAAAAGAGGTTTGTTCGGCAACGGCGCCTACCACCCACCACGAAGACACACATAGGGATGTTGCAAACTGCCCAAATTTCTGATTTTGTTCAGCACTGCCTTGCATTTGCGATGCTTATATTTGAGGTCAAAATTTGAGTCTCTTCCTGTAAATAGTGCACATATAAACCTGTACTGAACAAAATGGGAATTTCGGGCAGGAGCCAGGAAAAAATGGCACGTGATGTACATCAATCCTTTCACATTGCAAGGAATGGAGATGCATGTTGCAGTGATAGCTCTTTGGCGTTGCACAGGAAGGAAAAAAATATTTCCTGCAATTTTCTTGTAACCTTTAGTGAATCATAATGGTGAAGATTGTGTAGCAGTTGTACGTTAGTTATTTGTATTTTGCATTTCTTTAAAGAGATTGTAGCATGGCAAAGTGACTGCCTTACTTTATGTACTTGAGCATCACGTTAACGAATGAACAGTTGGAAGTGTAGCCGCTTTCTTGTCTTCTTCTACGTTCCCTGGGTTCGTATTTTTGGCTGTTTTATTTTCTCGATGCAATGCTGCAACTACCCTAAGGACGACTCCTTTATAGGGCCACACAACAGGCTCGCAAAATACAAAAAAGACCGCAGTATCTTTTCCTGATATATTTCTCGTCCTTCTTGGCGCCCTACTGTCACCCAAACAGTAGTTCCCCTGGAGTTTAGAGCGTACAAGCTCTCTATTCGTTGATACACACGAAATATCACACGTGATTTGTCTCCTGCACTGCTTTGCCATGCAGCCGCCCATCCGTTCTTCTTTGTCTCGCATGAGCATTGTGCACAATAAACCGATCAATCTGTGTTTGTGTTTAGAACTGCACAAGTGGCGATAACAGCGTGCAGCCAAGAAGTGCTAAATCCTGATAGGCTCAAGCGCTTAGTGCTGGTATTGTTCACGTGCATTCAAGAACTAAGGGGCGAAGAGGATGCATCGCGTGTATGAATGAGGGGAGAAAACCATCCCCTCGTCTTTAAACGCGGGGTTGATTGATTGATTGATTGATTTGTGGGGCTTAACGTCCCAAAACCACCATATGATTATGAGAGACGCCGTAGTGGAGGGCTCCGGAAATTTTGACCACCTGGGGTTCTTTAACGTGCACCCAAATCTGAGCACACGGGCCTCGACATTTCCGCCTCCATCGGAAATGCAGCCGCCGCAGCCGGGATTTGAACCCGCGACCTGCGGGTCAGCAGCCGAGTACCTTAGCCACTAGACCACCGCCGCGGGGCCTTTAAACGCGGGGTGGTGAGTGGCCCGTTAAGAATATCTTCAGTTTCGTATTAAGGAACGCTATTCTTTGTAATGTGAGAGAATTATATTTGTTTAACAGGAAGTCATACTCAAGTATTACAGATCACTGTTGTTTCCTCAACAATTATTGCTTCTTGCATGCAGAACTAATTCCCAATTGTGGGTCTCGGCTAATTGTCGCATCTATACTAAAGTCCATTCACAGTGCTTCTAGAGATAGAAATAAGGTCTACCAGTGACCACTTACTGTTCAGACTGTTTATTTTACAATTCATTTCATAACGAACGACCCGTCTACCTCACTTTTTTGCATTCATAAAATGTCCGAATATAACCGTGGACGACCCGGTCACATTGGCAGTGGGGATACGGGCATAAGGAAGAATCTCCATGATTGCATTGTGGGCTCTGAAAGAGATGTAAGAGCATCACATCATGTAACATCCTTCAAGATTACACACACACACACACACACACACACACACACATATATATATATATATATATATATATATATATATATATATATATATGTATATTGGAGAGTCTGGCAGAGTCTGGGAGTCTGGAATTATGCAGAGTCTGGCTTCGGTTGCCGTAAAATTAGGGGAAAATAAGTATACGCTTCTAAAAAACTCTTTATTGGTGACGTTTCGATCGGAGACCGATGTTGATTAGACAGAATTTAGTAGGCTCCGACGCGCCTTTAAACCATCGTCCAGCCGGGACAAAGAAAAAAAGAGAATAAAGTGCACACATAAACCAGTGGTCAAGCAAGTAGTCGAAAGACCACGTGTGTGTGTGCATACTTATACCTACGCATAACATCTGTATTTTGTGCAAAAAATAATTAACCACAAAAACAGGTACACATTTAAACGAGTGGACAAACAACCCATCATATATTGAGTTGGTCCACACTACAATGTGGTCCAACAACCACGTGTGTGTATGCGGACTTTCACCTACGCATAGCACGTGCATTTTGCGTAAAAAAAGAATAAAAGATATTAAAAAATCACACATAACCGATTGGATAAACAACATAGAGTCAAGCTAAGTTTTTTGGGGTCCAGGTGGCTAAATTAAGCACATTCCAGTGATACATTGTGAACTTACACTTCTCAGGCTCACACCGCATCAAGTGCTCTCCCCCCCCCCTTAGCTTGAAAAGAACATGTTTCCACTAGTTGCATGGAGCATTGTATATATATATATATATATTTATATATATATATATATATATATATATATATATATATATATATTTATATATATATATATAAATATATATATATATATATATATATATATATATATATATATATATATATATATATATATATATATATATATATATATATACATATAGTGAAGTCTTGGTAGTCTTGGCTGCGTCAGCGTTTATTTGAGGAAAGACCTCGCAAAACGAACGGGCAGAGCCAGTACACAGACGATGACGATGATGATTACCCAGAGTGACAATGAGAACAAAGAGACAAGCTGATGATTGTGATTGTGATCATGCAGGGATGATGACGATGTAAGTAACAAACGCCCACACTAATTCCCCCCGCTTGGAAGCGGACACCCTGGCCGCCGTAAGTGAAAATGACGGGGAACGTCGCGTGAAAGGTTTCATGCGACAAATGTGGACAATCTCTGTGCTGCGGTAGCGGTAGTCTGTTGGGGCGACCATTGGTGTGACATGATAATTAACTGGCGAAGTCTGTTCTAAAACAGTGTAAGGCCCGATGAAGCGTGGTTGGAATTTGTCACAAAGACCAGGAGTGCGAATAGGTGTCGAAAGCAGCACCTCGTCACCAGGTTGGAATACCACAACTCGGTGGGATTCATCATAGATGATCTTCCGCTCGTGCTGTCTCGCTTCACTATTGGTGCGAGCCTGATGGCGAGACTGGGCCAGGCGGGAAATGTATTCTTCGCTAGAAGACTGACATGAATTTCCATGGCTGTTTAAGAAGGAGACGTCGAGAAAAGTAGTCGGGGTGCGTCCGTACACGAGGTAAAACGGCGAGTAGCAAGTTGTTCGCTGAATGGCGGTGTTGTAAGCGAATGTCAGGAATCATAAAAGAGTGTCCCAGTTTTTGTGTTCGGGTTGGACGTAAACGGCTATCATGTCAGCAAGGGTTCGGTGAAATCTTTCTGTGAGACCATTTGTCTGAGGGTGGTAGCTTGATGCTGTCTTGTGAGTAGTTCCAGAAGCGCAGTACTTCATTTGCCATTTGTGACAGGAACACTTTGCCGTGGTCACTAAGCAGTACACGAGGAGCCCCATGACGCAGTAGTATTGCGTGAAGAATAAAGTCTGCAACTTCCTCAGCTGAGCCTGTAATAACAGAGGAAGTCTCAGCGCAGCGTCTAAGGTGGTCCACGGCGGTCACTGTCTATCGTTTGCCAGCAGATGTGGCGGGGAGAGGCCCGTAAAGGTCAACACCTACAACCTCGAACGCCATTGAAGGGCACGGAAGTGGCTGTAGAGGTCCAGCAGGTGCAGACGTGTGGAGTCTACAACGCTGGCATGGGTAGCAGGAGCCGGCGTACCGCGCTACACTAGAAGAAAGGCCAGGCCAGTAATAACGACATCGAATGTGGTCAAGAGTTTTTTTAAAACCAAGAAGACCAGCAGCCAAATCGTCGTGGAAGGCTTCGAGCACCTGAAGTCGAAGAGAGCGTGGCGGTACAGGAACCCAGCACTGACCGTCAGGGTGATAGACGTGGCGGTAGAGACCCCCATTGTCCAGCTTAAAGTGCAGGAGTTGACGACAGAGTCGCGCGTTGAGTGGATGAAAAACTCCCAAAAGGTGTTCCATCATGCGTCTCCAGTATGAATCGGGCCACTGGTGGGAGATAAATGTTGGCTCGTCGTCCGAAGAGGGCTGACTTATTGATGCGAGCGTATGAACTTTGGTAGATGTGGTGATTGAGTTCTCACCAACGCTGATATGGGTAGTTGGAAGCGGGGAACGAGATAAAGCGCCGGCGTCTTGATGTTTTCTGCCTGACTTGTAAGTTATGTCAAAGTCGTACTCTTGCAAGCGTAGTATCCACCGACCCGAGCGTCCGGACAAGTTCTTCAGTGTAGAAAGCCAGCATAAGGCATGGTGGTCCGTAACAATTGTAAAGTGATAGCCGTGAAGATAGGGACGGAACTTCTGGACCGACCAAACCACAGCCAAACACTCTTGCTCCGTTATAGTGTAGTTCTTTTCGGCAGGGGTGAGTATGCGACTGGCATATGTAACAACTTTTTCTAGGGAAGACTTGTCGCATTGTATAAGAACGGCTCCTATACCAAGGCCGCTAGTGTCGGTATGGGGGATAGTCTGTGCGACTTCGTCAAAGTGGCAGAGCAGAGGTTCAGACGTGAGTGCCCGCTTCAACAGGCCGAATGCCGTTTGACATTCTTGAGACCACAGAAAGGGGACGTTGGAAGCATGTAGTTGGTGTAATGGAGCAGCAATAGAAGCGAAGTTCTGGATAAACCGGCGAAAACAGGAGGCGAGGCCAAGGAAACTGCGAAGCTCCTTTGGTTTTTCGGGACGCGGAAAGTGAAGGACTGCAGAAATCTTGTCAGGGTCGGGCCGGATGCAATCTTTGCTTACGACGTGTCCTAAGACCTTGATAGATTTGCTAGCGAAAGAGCATTTCTTAGTGTTGATTTGAAGCCCGGCGCCAGCAAGGCCAGTGAAAACTTGATCCAATTGTTCTAGGTGCTCAGGAAACGTTGAAGAAAAGATAATAATGTCGTCCAGGTAGCAAAGGCAACTTTTCCATTTCAGGCCGCGCAGCACGGTATCTATCATGCGCTCAAAAGGCACGGGTGCGTTGCAGAGCCCGAAAGGCATCACGTTGAATTCATATAGCCCGTCGGGGGTTGCGAATGCAGTTTTCTCTTTATCGCCTTCATGCATGGGGATCTGCCAGTACCCAGAACGCAAGTCGATGCTTGAAAAGAATTCCGCACCTTGTAGGGAAACAAGGGCGTCGTCAATGTGTGGCATAGCGTACACGTCCTTGCATGTGATCTTATTGAGCGCGCGGTAGTCCACGCAAAACCGCACAGAGCCATCCTTTTTAAGGACCGAAACTATAGGAGACGACCAAGGGCTAGATGAGGGACGGATGACTTCCCGTTTAAGCATGTCCGCAACGTTTTCTTCTATTATTTTTCTTTCAGTTAACGACACGTGGTAGGGTCGGCGGGGTAGGATAGATGTCCCAACAGTTTGAATTCGATGTGCTGTAGTATTAGTGCGGCCCAGCTTAGACGAGCAAATATCGAAAGGATTTGCATGTTTCTGTAACAATGCGAGCAGCTGCTGCCTCTGTGAATATGTCAATTCGCTGCTGATGGCTGTGATAAAGGTGGAGGAAGAAACATGCTAACCGAGGAAAGGTTCTTTGGATGCGATGGCCTGAAGTGGCGTGACAAATACAGGCTCGAAGTCAGCAACACTGGCCACAGTAGTGCCCTGTGGCAGTAAGATCTTCTCTAGTGTAGAGCTGACAGCGGTGACAAGTGCAGAGCCATTTCAAAAACGAACGACACCGGACGGAACAACGATACCTTTGCGAACGCAAAGTGGTGACGGTGAGACCAATACATCCCCGTGATAGATGTCGTTGGACGTAATGCAGACAATTTGCTCTTGTAGTGGCGGCAGTTCGATGTCTTTCGCAGCGACCAGATGAAGTGGCTTCTGATTGTCGTCGTCAAGCATGTAGTCGGTGTCAGCGAGGTGAACGACGCGTTGTCCACAACAAATCACCGCGGAAGCAGATGATGGAAAATCCCACCCTAAAATTAGTTGGTGAGAGCAGCGGGACAGGACAGCAAACTGGACATGATGGCGGATGCCGTCGATGAAAACACGCACAGTACAAAACGCGGAAAGGCGAATGACGTTCCCCTGGGCAGCAACTAACGTGGGGCCATCGTAAGGCGTCATTACTTTCCTTAAATGTTCACACAAATCAGCACGCATCACCGACAATGTCGCACCTGTGTCCACCAAAGCATCGACTCGCACTCCTTCCACTTCCACAGAAACCATGTTACACGGGCCTGATGGAGGAATTTCAGTTTTAATTCCGAATGCAGTTTTTCCTCCACAAACTGCATCACTTAGGAGGAGGAGGAAGAAAGTTTAAGCGGAAAGACAGGGAGGTTAGCCAGTTCTTAAACCGGCTGGCTACCCTGCGCTGGGGAAAGGAGTGAGGGGAATGAAAGACGTTAAAAAGAAATGTTGCAAAGACAGGAAGAAAGTACAAAAAAAGGCGACAGAGGAAAGGCAACATCAAAGAGTATAAGATACTAAGGTCTGTCTCTGAGGACAGTTGTCCGCAAAAAGCGCAGCAAAGCTTTCAAAGCCTTCTGGGCTGAG